TCGATTTTTTGACACGTTTAAAAATGTGGACTGCTCTTCACACAATTCCCTCCCGTCCGAAGACGACCTGGTGTGCCAGTGTCGAACATTTACACTAAAGTTTGTTCCTGTTTCCCGAAGAATCTTTTCTATTAAATTTATCCAAGGTGTTCAATAGCTACCGCTTTTCTTATATGTGGCTTTGTGTTTGGTAAAATGGCGAATTTACTTTCATTTGAACTAACTGTGCCGTTTATGCAGTCTTTTCTTATCTGATCCTTCTATTTTTCTATTAGGAAATAACGGACACCCCACGAATACGATTGAGGAATTCATCCCGGCTGATCCACCGGCCGTGACCGAAGACCTGTCCTCCTGGTCTTGGACTGCCTTAGACCCCCTAAACGCTTTAAGTGACATCTATGGAGCTGTTGTTATCCAACAATGTTAGACTCCTTGAAGAAGAGCTATTGTACCCATTATTTTGTATATATGTATATATAGATTTTTTTTAATATGTTGCTCTAAAAACGTGGAGTTTACTGAGATTTTGGGTAAGAACGCATGACTTATTTGAAAAAAGCACTTGTTGCGAAGATTTATTTTCAAAATGATTCACTTGCTGCTAGGTAAAATGGTTACGTGAGAATAGTGTTCACCGATGGGATGACGGGACGCACTTCTATTCACAAATATGTACTCTGTCTCTTAGCTAATGCGCTCACATGCAATGTGAAGGCGGAGGAGTAAAAGGGGATTTTTAGTGCGTGTCAGCATTTCTTGCACCGCATACAAGAACCCACTTGCCACGGTTATCTACTGATTTGGCGCCACTTCCATCTACAGATTTAGGAAACTTATTTTACAGTGATATTTTGCAGGCTGATTGGAAGGCTTGGTTGGTGTTACAGTAGTCGCCGGTTATTAAGCCCTACTCGGGCCCAGACCAAATTGGGCTGAATAAGCGGCTGGGCCTATTAACCGTGAGCTTAATAACCGGCGACTACTGTATTTAGTGTTCACGAGGTCTCTTTGTTTAAATTCATGATAGCCGCATCGAAATTGAAACAACCGTACGTAAGGTGTAAACTGGTGTAATCGCATTTCGCGCATTTT